TTTTTGTATCTAATTTAATGAAGTGGAGCGTAGTTTATGCGGGAATTTAGTTTATGCGCGTTTGTAAGATTTGAGACAACGATCTCACCGAGTATCTGGTTTGATATAATCTTACAGAACTTTAAAAAGCCTTTAGACAGTTTCTCACCGCAAATAGAAAGAAAATGTTCCAAAGAATCTTTAGTTATAATTCTAGCCGGAAAAGAAAGCTTTGAGCGATTTTCTTGCCTCGAGTTCGTCTATACTTTTTACCATATTATTAGAAGGGGATGAAAGGCGGCAAACATCAAAAATAAATAAAGGTGCAGCAGTTTATATAGTTTATTATTTGAATGGTCCATACACTAAAAAGTTAGAGTCACCTTACAAAGATCCATCAAGCACTTTTGGCAGTGAAAGAGTTAAACTACTAAAATTGTCATCGCATCATTACAATTCCAAAAAGAATGGTCCACTTTTATTATTTGAGACTATATTCAGGTATTTAAAGTGTTTCCCGTCCTCTATTTGAACAGGTAACAAGGATGGAAATGGATGGAAACTTTAAAAAAAGTATGGCCCACCTCAATTATCCCGCAAAGTCTACGCCCGAAAAAGCCACCGAAAGTTTATTACGGTTATTGCTCCCCAATGAAATTTGTTTTATACTTTCTTCATAAACCCTATAGGAGAATTTTGTCAATGGGTAACTTAGGAGATCATTTATGTTTCTGTGAAACTGCTTACCTATCCCTCCCCTAAACCAACATTAACACTTAGTTCTTACTTAGGGCAAAATGCTGGCTTAGGAGAGGGGTAGGTGGGCAGTTTCCCAGAAACGTAAAATGATCCAGCTTAGGCACTAAGGAATGACTTGAGCACAGAATTGACCTAAAACAGCAATATCCTCATGATATAGCCCTTTTAAGGGACGAATATTTTTATTTTATTTTTTTCTTTTGGCCAAAGCTAACTAGCAATGGTGGTGTTGCCTACCTTCACTGCAGTATCTGCCCTGCAGCCCTTGGGTACAATTGCAGGTAGCACCTCCATCTAAGCATGTACTTCCAAAGCGACAAGGGTTATCAGCGCATCCGTCAGCAGCTATAGAATAACACAAATATGACAGAAACACAGCGAAACTTAAACTGTGACAATAGGCAGACAGCAACGCACCAGTGACATTACGAGTCTTCATAGCCAATAACATCACGGCTTAACTGGCACACGACCAATAACATCGCGACTTAATTGACCAATCAGGTCAATAAACAGAGTTTAAAACCATCAACTGACGTGATACAACTCACTTTCACACTGAAGATAACGAAAACAGTAGGTAGTATGTAGGACTTGAAACTGCACCATCTGAACGTTGATCCACATCAGTTTAATCCACTACACCATAAAGGGCTAACTACCGACATCGGTTAATTTGAACGCAGTTTATATGACATTGATCATTACATTATTGAAAGCTTTATGGTCGCATAGTTATTGTACCCACGTTTTCACTCGTTCAGAACATGGCAAATACGTTTAGTTCTTGTTGTCCCCTTAAAACAATCCTTAAAACCAATGCGTTCATAAGTTGTACAAGTTCTCCGCTCTTATAAAACATGGCAAATTATTCTGCATTTTTTTGTTTTTGCCGAATATTTGATAGGTTAAGATTCTAATTTTTTACATCATAATCACTAATGATGTTAAGGTGGTTTCTATAATATTAAAATAAATTAAATGTCAAGATTCTCATCCGACCCGTGCATAATCACACTCATAATAAAAAAAATTATCGATCGTATTTTTATAATTAGAATTCTTATCATAAAGATCCCATACGTCCTAAGGCCGAAATCGGCGAAATAATAAGTCGAAGGCAGGTATTGTATGTTCCTCATTTTATATTAGTACGTTGTATTTGACCGAATTAGAAGTAAAGTGACGAGCATTTCTTTATGGAAAGAGATGGCTATTATAACGATCGTGCATCTCATTAGTATTCGATCTTGGACAGGCAGACGAATACTTATACTGGGTCTAAATAACTTAAATTTAATTCGCAATAACACCCAAATAATATGTTTATAAACTGAAAGCATTTTCTTATGCTTTACGGACATTTTCTCATTGAAATTGTTATACAAAAGCATGTGTGCATCTTACCTCGGCAGATAGCGTCTCCAATATCATTGAGGAACAAAGTTCCGTTAAGGGAAGTGAATTCAGCGGCACTGAAAATACGCTTTTCTTCACCCAGAGCTATTGTTGTGAGTTGAGAACGGTCGTAATTTCTACCAATCCCAACGGCTAATGAGGTTATGCCACTCCTGTTTACAAGTAAAGCAGGGATATCGACATCATCGATTGATACTCCATCGGTGATTACCACTAGTACTTTGGATGCACTGCTTCTCACTACACTGCTATTGAATAAGATTGTGACTGAGTCGTTTAAAGCTTTTCCAGTAAATGTTCCCCCGCCGAGGAATTGTATGCTATCTAGTTGATTAGAAAAACTGCTCGAGTAATGATCCAGTGGTAAAGCCAGGGTTGAAATAGTAGAGTAAACAATCACTCCAACGCGTGTTTTAGTAAGATCCAATGGGTTGACGATATTAATTACAAGGTCTTTCATGTGTTGAAGGTTGTTTTCTCCGTCAGACTGTACGCTTGCAGAACCATCCAATAGGAATCCCAGTTCGATTTCATCAAACCTGCAGTCTGTGATGCAAAAATTAAAATAGCAGTTCTTTATTTATCATCAAACATGGTGTGTTGAGGTCACAAATGTAATAACTGATTACAAATATGTAATAAGGGTCCAAGATGTAATTAGAGATTGGTGCCAAATGTAATAAACGGCGACAACTGTTATGCGCAATTGGTACTAGAAGTAGTAACGGGTCACAAAAGTAACAAGGGGAAGATCACAAAGGTAATAAAGATCGCTTGTGTAGTAAATCATTGGTCACAATTCAAAAGTAGTCACCAAAGTAAGAGGGTGAACAATTAATTTCGCAACAACTGGGTCAGTTTAACGATTGATGACAGATATACAAGATGACAGGACATTGTGCGGACAAGTAAACTTTCGCTAGGCAACGAGCTAATATCCGTTACGTACCACGCGGCCTTGCGCAAATTAATAAACGTTTCGGCACAGGCAGACCACCCTCTGTAGTATCAACTTCCGGTTGCCATTTTTGACGTCCGGGACGTCACCGTTCTCGTCGCTTATGGCCCCTACTTACCAAGTTGACAGGACTGTCCACGAAAGCCGCTCGGGCAGCTGCACGCGTATCCTCCATAGTTGTTAACGCAGGTACCCGGTTGTCTTCGAAACCAACTGATGCATGGGTTCATATTATTGTAGCATTCATCACAATCTAGAGCAAAAGCACAAGAACAGCCTTTTAGCTACCAGACATCTGTAATTATATCCTCCTTTCCAAGACTATTTGCCTTTCAGTAAATGAGCGTTTTCGATTTTGAGGGGGGATATTAGTGGGTTGAAAAACAACAAAGAAAAAAAAAACAAAAGCATGAAATAAATATGGAATATATGCCATCGAAAGTGCGCTCATATTATATTTACGCACAAGTTGTTGACGAATAAGAAATCGAAAGGCATTTTACATGGCATGGGTTGGTTTTGAAAGGAGAATACCACAGTGCCCGTGCGCTGGAACCATCAATAAATAAACCCAGCCCACTTAAGGCACCGCCTACGGAATCCTAACCCTGATGACATTGATGGCAAAAAAATGAAGGAGTATAACTCAGTTGTGATTTTTAGAAACCTTTATTTGGAATTCTTAGCACCTTTCAATGTATCTTAATTTGTTGTGTTTTAGGTTGTCCCTGTGACTTTTTGTCTTTTGTCTTTCATTCGTAAAGAATACCTGAAAGAATATAATTTCCACATCCACCAATCAGCGCTCGTTCACCAGATTTCGGACAAATCTGTGTCATCAGTATAAAGTTTTGTGGGGCCGAATTGCAGACGTCTCTCCCGCGAATCCCCCGTAGCGGCCAGGAGCGAGGAGATACGGCTGTATTCGGCGCATGTTTCCCAAATACACTACATAATGTTAGACACTCACCATTTTCACAATTATCACCCCAGAATCCTTCTGTGCAGATGCAGTTATAACTCCAGTCTTTGGCATTCCCTTGACATGTTCCACCATTTAAGCAAGGGTTGGTTTGACAGGGATTAGAAATATCTGCAATTCGTGGAAACAAGAAAAGGTTAAAATAGAAATATAATTATAATTATAAAAGGACCACTCTGTGATGTGGTTTAATACCAACTTAATCTTCGTGATTCCATCCAAATGAACGCTATCTTAGCAGTATTCTGGGATTTTTCTTAAAGTCGAGGTTTGAAAAAATAGTCCAGAACGTCAAGACTTTCAAAAAATAAAATAAATCTTAAACATAGTATTGTTAAAAATCTTGCTGTTTTTCGTGCTCTTTTTTGTTCTGTTGTAACTAAAGGCAAACATTAACTAGTCACTGTTGTTGTCCACCTAAGAAATCCAAGAAATCCCTATACCAGAAGCTTGTAAAAATCCCAAAGTAGACCGTCGCACTCTTCAAAAAATGAATAGTTAAATTGGCAAGCAAAAAAAAAAATGATGAATAAGTTATAGTTTATATATGTAGGATAACATCTGCCACTGAACTGTGTCTCTCAAGACAGTTCAATGGGCAAATCGAACAGCTAACTCAACCGGAATGCTGTTATTTCCCGCTAAATGGCTAAACATTCAAACATTGACACGGCAGAGACAGCAAAGCTACAGAATGTGCTTCTTTAGAACACCAGAGCGTCATTTCATTTTCTAGCTTTCCTCCAGAAAGACTAATAATATGTACCTAACCCATATAATGCCTACAGTATGCAAACAGAGATAGGTGCAAAGTGCGGAAGTTACTCAGGATCGTTCGTAAAGAAGTGGCATAGTCTGCAAGAACTTTTGAGTCGTTTCAGAAGCAGACAACAAAAATGGCCACTATACTGTTCTTGACTTGCCTGCACAGGTATCCCACAAATGATCTTTTGTATAGTTATCAGTTGTTGCACACCATGGCCAAATGTTATTGTCCTTGATGCATGAATAGATCTGTTTGCCTTCATACCAGAAGGGGAAAACACAGCATTTGTTTCTTTGTGTCTTGAAGCATCCTAGATCAAACTCAAAGTTAATCACACTCACTGACATATGGTAGGCGGGGTAACGAAGAGGTTAGGTAAGTGTGATACTTCCTGGGTTGTTAGTTGTATTTGTTTGTTGCCATTCCTGAATCCAACATAGATTGTAAGTAATCATTTCTTTTATGTATTTTCATTCATCTATTTATTTACTTAATAGTTACCTACTTATTTATTCTATGCTGTGCACCTTTGATTTAGGTTATTCTAAAAAGTGAGAAGCCTTTTAATTAGTTTGAATAGCTTAGTGTAAGCCTGCATTCTTTTTGTTTTATTGGATCCTTTCCTAGGGAAATTCTGTTGAACATATCACAAAGATAAAGATCGAGAAAAAATAATTCCGATCATATACGTTAAAGACCTTTCCCTTTAAATGCATCGTTATTGAATGGAGGAAATCAAATTTGCCCAAAACTTGCCAGTTAGACGGTGAAATACCCAAGGGTTGATTTCCACTGACGCGTTTTTGGCTACTCACGTTAACGCACGTAAATTTTAATCACGTAGATAAAATAGAGTCAAGGTGACAAGTACTGAGCTTAAACGAGTAGTTAAGCGAGGTTTAACTTTTACGCTTACCAACGACTTCTCATGCATTACCTCTATGTTTATTTGCGAGGGTAAGTTTGACGCACGTACGTACGCACGTGAAAATTACGCGACACTGGAAATCAACCCTAATTTATTAGACATTTTGTATCAAAAAAAAGTACTAAGACCGTTATGTGCAGACCGTGAAATTCCAAAATTCTCCCTTTGATCTTTACCCTATTTTATTGTTTTTTCCCTTTCATTGTTCATAGCCGCTGCTATCGACCCAGCAAAGCTTCACATGTCCGAGCGTACAATGGTCATGGAGAAATAATTGCTCCAATAGACCGCTTTCATAATGGCGGCCTATTAGTATATTCTTTTATATGTATGATAAGTAGCCTTTTTGATCTCGTTTGAAAGTGAGAATTCGTTTGTATTTTGCACATGCTAACGAAGTCAGAAAGGCTAATTATCATTCATATAAAAGAATATATTTAAAGAGGTATATTGAAAAAAGAAGGAGTTCTACTTCTGTCAGATTTGTTTCTTTACTTTTTTACATACTTCAAACCGTTCTTATACTGACCTTGAGTAACCAGTTCCCCTTCCAGACTCGTGGATACACAGCCTGTAAGTTCTGTCCTTGCGCAATAACCATCTCCTGTGTTAAATGTTGGGTATTTCGGTTCAAAACTTAAAGAACGAAGCGGGTCTGGTGGAATTATTCGGTAAGATCGCGTAGTGTCACCACTTCCATTGTTCAAGCCTTGCTCAAACAGCTGCAAACAGAATAGTGGCATAGTAAAATCACAATGGTTAACTGAAATTGCGTCATATCTTCTTAATTGGCAGGGGAGTCAAACTGGCATGGTTTTCATGAAAGGTAGAGCCTGCGTAAACGACTGACGCATTCGACTCATTCGTTTTAGTAGTATAGGGCGCAAAGGTTAGAACACTTTTTGGGCAGGAATCTCATTAGGTAAAGAAGGAATACATTAACGTCAATAATGTCATAGCCTTTTGTCTTTATGTCATGAATAAAATGCGCGGAAATCTAGTTAAGATAAGATCATCTGGTCATTTTTAGGACGATTAATAGCCGTTGGTTGATTCATGCTGTACAAGGTATACGAGTTAATTCGCTTGTGACTTAAAATCACTGAGTCGTAACGTAATTATGCCAGTCCTATTTCCCGACTATTTCAAACCCCGATTACACCGGTCCAAACGACTTTTTCAACGGACGAATTCTCCTTGTGCAACCCGTTTTGGAAATTCTGTTAAGCCTGGTTTTCGCCGTTGCATAAGCACAAGAATAAGCGTAAGCACATGTGTAAGCAAGTGAAAACTGGGTCGACACAAGCATAAGCATAAGCACAAGAAAAACGGACAAGTTCGTTCTTCTTATGCTTGTGCTCATGCTTATGTCTTACCTTTGACTACTGAAACCTGGGACGACATGAGCTCAAGCATAAGCACAAGGCCGTGGACCAATCATAGGTCACTTTAACACAGACCGCATGCGAACATATCAAGTGCAATATGGCGGACGCTTGGCCCGACATCTTGTTTATCATTGGGTTGAGGAGAACTGTTATCGAGGATTGAGTCAAATATGCTATTCCGCGCTTGTGTATATGTCCTTATGCTTATCCTTATGCACCAGTGAAAACCAGGCTTTACAGATTGCTGTTTGCCGTTCATGAACTTTTACGGTTTGGCGGTTCCCATGTCAAGAAAGGTGAATCCGTGCAAGTTTTTGTCGACACCCGTGTAAACGGGTTTTAACTGTCTAACAAATTGTTCCTGACCAGATCCGCTTCACGGATTCTTGACACGCAAATTGTCCATACTCACAAGTTCGAAGACAAACTTGCTCTTTCTAGCGCCGAAAAAGAAAACATTCTCGGCTCATCATCCTCTTGTGCTAGAAGTAGCTACAACAAGTTGCAAAAATACTTGAGACACTGTACCTTATTTTGGCTTAAATGGCCTGTGCCTGTGATCCCCCTCCTCCCCTTATCAAAATTGTCAGCAATACAAGACAATGCTAACACTTTGAATGGTAGTAAGGGGGAGATAAGTATTACATCCCACGGACGTTTTACTAGCAGCGACTTGAAGTAAGAAAGGCCGGTTTTTCGTCGGAGTGTCTCAACATTTTTTCAAGTGGTTGCAGTTCGTCTTCGAACACTCTTATATGCAGAATCTGCGCGTCAAAAGTCAGTGAACCAGACCTGGAATAATTTGCTTATCTTACCAAACAAGACGACTTGTTTCTTGTAAAATCAACAAAGTGGCTTCCGTTTTTGCTATAACTTAGACAAATTTTATAAGGCCATTCCTTGGCTTCCACTCCTCCTTGAACTTGAACTTGAGAGATGTTAAACTGTCTTCCTGTAAGGTGAAAGCTTCTTTCTTAGTGGGACTGTTTAAAACTTCTGGCAACTACTGTAAATGTTACGAAGAGTACAACCTGATTCTATGTACTTAAGGAGCAACATATACTGCAATAATTAAGTGTCATAAATGTAAAGAAGATCATTGCCGTTGAAGACGCAACTATGTCATGCCACGGTTCAAATATAACAAAAAAATCATATTCTTATTATTTCATCTTCAACTTTACGGACCACTTTAATGACCTGGGGCCCGTTTCTCGAAGTGTCGGTACCCCCCCCCCCCCCCGGGGGAATTTTCGCACGATAGACCGAACTGGAGAGTAAACTTTCCGTTTTCAAGTGGAAACGGTAGGTGTGTACGGGGCCTAACATAAAAAAGACATTATGAAATATCAGTGAGTGAGTAACAAACATATTCAACTGACTCACCCAGATCAACTATAAGCACTGGATTTCTCAGAAGGTCATCATCGGCTGGACACCAGGAAATATTAGAATTCACAAGAGGTGGCTCAGTGAGATTCCCACGAACACTTGTGTAGTTGAAAGTCACATTGTAGTTGCCATTACGCAAGATTGAAGAGGGTGTAGCTAGACAAGGAAACACACAATCAAGTAAAGCATCCATTATTTAGCATTCTAACTGCTAAAAACGCGAATATCTGAAATCGTAACTTGCTTACACCAGCAATTATATTACGAAGGATCTCTTCTAGTCTTCCATGGTTCGCACAACTTCAGACAAACAAATTTCAAGGACTTTTCAATGATTTTTCAAGGACAACTTACAGTTTTCAAGGAGTAAGATTTATTTAATAAATCGCCATTCTTTAACCCCCTACTGAACACCTCATTGGCTAAAACACGTCAGTTTTAGCGGAGTCATTTACTATTTTTACTTTTTCAGCCATGGTTGATCACATTATTTTAAAATACTTTCCGCAACAACGCTTAGGAAAATGACTGGGTATGACTTGCAATAGGCCATTTGCACGATGACGTCGTTTACTACCACGACCAGAATCCTTCAGGGTTTTGCTTTCTTGGGCAAATAAGGGCTTTTGCTATTTAAACCTCGCAGGGATTACGAAATTTAAATATGAAAGGAGAAATGGAAAGGATTCTGGTCGAAGTAGTAAAATGACGCCATCGTGCAAATGGCCTATTGCATCTGAGGTACAGAAACAGCATTTAAGCTGCAGAAGTGAGATACTGCTCATGCACAAGTAAAATTGTTTTTAGACAAGGTAGTGAATATCAATTTTTTCCCAAGACCTAATACTTAAAGAAATTAACCGACTTTTCAAGGCCCTAGTAAAACCAAATTCAAAGAACTACGAACAAGACCACAAGTAAAATTCAAGGGCTTTTCAAGTGGAGGGGCAAAGGCCATTGCCTAACATATTAAGGCTATGTTCGGGCGGGATAGCTTTTCGCGTCGTATCAACACCTATCCGATAAGTGACTCGCCACTTTAGAGATCGGCGCGGGGCAGCTTCGCTCCGTTACAAGGGAATTTAAGATCCAACGAAAATGCATTTGACGAGAATGTCAAGTTTATTTACAAAACCACAACTATAATTGAGGAAACTATATTAACGTTTCTTCGCCGGTTGTTGAGACAAGACGTGAACGCAAATTTAACGTCTTATGGTCAAACAAGCCAGGACGAAATTTAGCCTTTCTGAACTTGGAAAGGTCCCTTATACAGAATTTAATTTCTCAGCAATTTTAAGACAATGAGGTATCGGTCTGGATAAAGACTGAATCGAACCCGCGACCTCCCTTTCTTCGAGTCCGTCGTGTCTATCGACTGAAAGTCCCTACAGAATCGCGCCCAAATCACCCTTCTTATGTATTAACAGAAGCTCTAGCTATCCGGTATGGCTAGATATTCGTGTCGGCACAAAAGGTATTCGGTACATTGTAAACATATATAGCATAGAGGGTTGGTATTGGATTTAGTTGGACATGATGCTTGATTGACAATAATCTAAATGAAAAATGGAGTCTTACATGTATTGTCATTCTCGAATATGTCGATTCGTATACACAGACCATCCTTTCGGAGAGGTCTCCATGGTGCAAATTTCAGATATTGAGCCATGATGGTGTCACTGAATGGGATAGTGGTTGTGTCATTGGAGCTTTGGGGTGACAATTGGACCTGCAGAGAAGCAAAAAAACACAAGCCAGGCCTTCTCTTATTTAGATCTTACAAAGTATTGATATTCTTGCCAAACATCTGCAATCTTAAGTGATTTTCTAGACTTCGAGGGATCCATTGTTTTCAACACAAAAGTTGTCTGCGTATCCTTTTGCATCAAAAGTGCATTGAAGACAGTCAAAGCCTGTACATATTAAAACAATACATACCACGAGAGTAGACTAGTTTTCTGTTAGCTGGATGTTAAAATTCTTAACATTCTTACCAAACAAGAAGAGAAATCTTGAGTGATATTCTGAATTCCAACGGGTCCATTCTTTTCTACACAGTAGTTGTCGGCATAATCTTTTGCCCCCTTTTTACCTTGAACAGAGATGACCGCTACTAATGTTTCCCTTTCTTCTGGACCTAATATTTAAAAGTACGCAAAGCACATTGAGTTCTATGTGAAATATTGGACTGTTAATATCACCTCGTGCCTGAACATACACGTTTATACTGGACAACCTTTGATCTCTGAAGATTGAGGAACGGGAGAGAAAATGGGTTTTTATTAAATTAATAATACATTCAAAAATGGATGAAATTACTCAGAGTCTTGAAGTAAACACTTATGATAAGCGGCGTTTTCATTTTAGTCTGGAAGGAGGTTGCAGACGAATTGTACGTCTGGATATCCAACGCTGAGGCAAAACGTTTGGACAAAACTATAGCAGTCTCTTGAAAGTCGTACAAAACTGAAGGACCCAAAAAATGTTTGTTAAAACAGATGCACATGTTCTAACATGTTCTGTTTAGACGTATCTATACTAAGCTTGCTAAAGTTTACTATAGACTGCGTCAAAGACATAATCAAACCCCTTCTAATATCTTCTCCACGGCAGTTACGATATCCTTGTTCTGGGCGCCCAAGGAACTCAGCGAACTTCCAGAAATGCGTTTCAAAGTTCCCTTCAACATGATTGGCAAATTGACAACGGCTTTTCTTAACAGGCCAATCCCAGCACATACTCAAATCTTGGTACATGGGCAGGTATTTGATACTACAATTCAACTCGAGCAAAGAAGACCTTCAGTAAATTTATTTCGTCCTTTCGACGCCCATATACTAATTTATACATCGTAGATCCTTACTTAGAGTTATATGAAGAAGAGGTCTGGTGTCATTTGAAAGCCAGACGTAGTCGTGATCTACCACAGGTATCTTAAATGGCTGGTTTGGAGATAAGCTTGCGACTGTTTCATTTTGATTATTCAAACCTAATATTCCTGAAAAGGAAGACAAAAGGTGTTAACACGCTTACCTCGAATAAGCTTAATTTTGATAGTCATCAACAATTATGTGGAATGGATTAACAGAGGACCTGAGTTCAAATTCAAAGTGAGTCCGTCAGATTTCGTTTCAGCAAAAATAATTATAATACATGTATATAAGCTCGTTTGCTGGTCAATTCGGATTGTCCCAGCAGGTGGCAACCAGATGACTCCAGTAGTCTCGGTCTTCGGTAGGCTGTCGGATTTCTCGCTCCATCAGTGCTTTGAACCGTCCCGATGACCCTTGAGATGTGAAGCTGTTGATAACATCCTCCTTGTCGCATGTAATGAGTATTATTAAAATTCCTTTTTCTCACAGTTTTGTTTTTCCTCTTTCCTCTTTTCCTTTCCAATCTTTTTAGCATTATTCTTCCTATTATTAACATTAGCCTTTACAGCTACTCTGTAAATAATAAAGGTGATTATTATGTTATGTTCAGCTTATGTCTTACTAAAGAAACAATCAGAGACAAAGTATACTACGATCAAGTACTATTTGCGAAAGAACGGCAATGTATATCTCCCTTCGTTGTATCATCTTACTCAGTTCTCTATGTGATCCACCGTCTATAGGCAACCAACTGTAGTTGCGATCCGCAAGGGGTAGAATCCAGGTACCGTTGAATGACGAGACTCTGATAACTTCACCACGAGAATCGAGTAACTTTATTCCTAAAGATTTTGGAAATAAAACAATACATATAAGTGATGTCTGATAAAACTATGCTTTTAGCTAAGACCTTTACTAAACGACCAAGATTTAATAATACTCTTCTCTTACTAAGTTCAAGTTCAATTTCACGCTTTATGTCCACGCCCTGTGGACACCAGGAATAATCCCCGTCTAAGTATGGAACTCCCCAGTGATCTCTGTACGACGAGCCTTTTATAGTCCTGTCCGATAGATGTACGAGTCTCTCCTGCAGCAACTTTCCACATTTCGCTTTCACAAAGGAGAAAATACATATACATAAATACACAGTGATGATAACAACAATAATAAAGACGCAATGAAAGAACAAATATAATCGCGTTGCTTAATACAAAATGTTTATCATAGTCATAATATAGACATTTTGAGGTTCTCTTTAATTGGTTTAAATATATTCCTTTGTTTTTGGGTATGATGTATGATAATGAGTTTGAAATAAAATATGATTCAAGGATACAAAAATGAACCACAAGATATCTATTCATATCATAACCAAAAGTATGGACAAATGATCCATTAATTAAGTTCATTAATTACGTTGTACTTGTGTGCGACTAAACTTATTTAGGTGGTAGAATTTTGACTGAAAACGAAGGACGAATGTCCCTTCCTTGCTTTGCAAGCACTCAATTTTCCATAAGCGATCTATATCTAGCAGTGATCCAGATCTTGAGATAAGGGGGAGGCGGTCATCCAACCCTTAGATAAGTAGGGGGGGTGGTCTCCAAAACAAGTTTTTTTGGCCCTTCGGGCCTCCGTTTGGTCTAAAAATAAGGGAGGAGGGGGGCGGGCCTCCCGGGTCCCTTCCCTGGATCCGCCACTGTCTAGAGGGCACCTAAATGCTTGTAGCCCGGGTACAGACACCCCTTTTCCTAAAAAAAAAAGTGGTATGGACACGTTTTAATGTAACTAAACTTAGTGAAAATTCAAAAGACAAACTTACCGCCCAGTAAATAAACTTCGCTTACATTTTGCCCCCTTTTTCTCCAGGTGGACAAGCTGTTTCACCGTAAATGCTGTAGTTTAGATGAGCAAAAGGCCCAGAAAGGCAAGATCCTCCATCTTGCAGGGCAAACGCTTTGAAGCCAACCTTTGCTGTTTCTAAAGCACATTTCTTTACTGCATTTTCTCTTGTCTGATAAGGTCCGTTGAGGTAGGTTGCACTTATTGACTCCAGGGAGGGAATGACGGGCGTGTTATTTCGGTCATGGAAACAACCCAGCGAAAGATATTCAACTGATCTGCCTATTTAAGAACAGACATTTTCTTGTTTTTTGTGGATGTTGTTGTTTAAATGCACTTTCTCTAATAAACACCTGGGCTTGTTGATTTAAAATTTGGGATAAAAGCTTAAACGAGGCGGGGCGGGGGGGGTTGGAATTGGGTGTAACATCATCTTAAGTCAAAACTGTATTATTTGTTAAATCAATCGTAATAAGGTCCCATTATACACTCCGATGAATCTGTATGAACATTGTCGTCGAAACTTAAAATATTATATTTTATTACTCATTCAAAATATTTCCCCGATTCTTATTGGCTTAAAAAACACTCATCATTCACCATGACCAAATTTGGAAAAATTTTGTGTTTAATGAACCAATGACGTCAAAAGTGCAGCCTTCTTCTTCAGGTTAATGCACTGTTAACCGAGAAGACCAGGGGACGAGGTTGAGTTGTTTTGGTTGTGAAAACAAAAACGGCGGACATTTCATTCGTTTCAAGAGTAAGAACTAGGCGAAATAATAGCTAAAAACATGGCAAGAACAGCAAGAAGACAACTCGAAGGGCGACATCTGCTATTGGAGAATATTTGCGGAGCTGAACAACCCTCCTCCCACGCACACGTTCTTAGGGGCTCGCCTACGTGGGTAAAAGGAAACGAGTGTGAAGCATCGAGAGGTTCGAGAAATAGGGGGGAGGGGATGGGAGGAACTGCATGATTTTGATCGCTAACGAGAAATATCAGTCTGGTAATTCGAAATTTCCAGAACAGAAGTTTCGAGAAATAACTATTCGATGCCATAATTTCTCCGCATTAATGCATGCTCCCAAGAGAGTTAGGGAAACATTGATTGGAGTGAATGGACTAGTCTACAAAAACATACAAAACTGTAGGTGTTTTATCATTGTTTTGCACGCATAAAAAAAGTAACTTGTAGACTTCTTACTTTTCTCGCAGCGTTCTCCAGAATATTCCACAGAGCACGTGCAGTTGTAGCCAACGTCCAAATTTGTACAAGAGCCGTTGTTATAACATGGAGAGCTGACACAACTGTCGACAACTAACGAGAAACAAAAATAACGTAGTTAGTGGTTTGATCAGTTGCTGTATTTAACGATGGTTTCGAAGAGAATACACTACTTCCATGCGCGGACCCACACCGCTTTCCACCACTTTACGGAAGTCGGTCAGATTTTTCATGGAAAATGGTTTGAATATTTTTTTTTCCAATTTCCGGGCATGAGAAATAATAGTAATATTCCACTGATTTGTAAGGCTTCATCAGAGGACAAAGGAACTGGCCAATATCCTGTCCGACGAAGGACTCAGAAACCGCCTAGGTAAGGGGACTTTTAGAGAATTAAATCTGATAAAATTTCCTGGGAAAGCATGCCCCCGATTCCTTCTGAAAACGTGCGCCTTTGGCGTTAGTTTAGGGAATCGCGGTCAATATTTTTCCTAGATCCGCGCCTGACTTCTATTTCTTAAGTGTTCTTAAACGCTTGCGTGCATTCTGCTTTTTTTTTTTCACGATATAAAAGTAAACTAGATACTCAGCCCACCTTGATATATTTTCTTCGCCACTTCAGATACAAAATCAGCATTAACGCCTTCCCAAGAGTCTGCTGTGAAGACGTGATCCTCATCCAATTCACTTGCCATCTCATTCAACTGCCCCAGAGAGTACTTTTCGCCCACGCCCATGGCAAAAACAGTCACATTCGATGCCTTCAAGTTAATTGTTGGCGCTTCGATATCATCTGTTGACTTTCCACTTGTAATAGCGACAACAATATTTGAAGCATTGACACGAGACGAACCCGCATTGAGCAATGTCTCTCTTGCACGATTTAATATTGCACCCAACGTTATCTGATTTTCGTTCGGAAAATTGGCACTTAAGTCTGCCTCTGCGCTCATTAACTCACTTATGCTGTAAAACGCATTTAGCTCGCCAAAAACAAAATAAATGCACGTCATATTTGTGTATAGGCCAAGGCGATGAGAGACACCAATTGCAAACTTCATTGCAGAGGAGAAGTTGGCTTGTCCCATGTTAGTCGAACCATCCACCACAAATGCAAGGTTCAGGCTTGCAGAAGCACAAATAGCTACAAATATGAAATAATTAATCACGGTTAATTAAAGCGTGACGCAACAACCCTCATCCGTTCATAGAGAGTTTTAGATCCGAGTTTACCGCGAACCTCTAACCGCTGGAGGTCACGTGACAGGTCTTTCGCGTCACGTTTGAGGTTTACGACGTGCGTTTTCAACGTGGGGAGATAGGTTTTCACGTATGTCATTTACCTGAAAGCTTTTAGCGTATAACTCTTGTTTTTTCCCACCTAATGATACAAAAATCTTGTGGAGCAAGTCTTTATCCATTAGCAGAGGCGCAAATTCGGGCGAAATGCTAAATTTGATTAATCCTATTGGATCTTGAAAACAAGTGCCATTAATCGCTGCTGATTCAAAATGGCGGCCGTAAATTTGCAAGAAGAACTAATGTAAGAATTTACAGCTCTTTGCTGCTAGATAACTTAGTGTTACCGTAAAGTTCTTTTATTTTTCATTGATTGACATTTCTTCTATTTCTAAATGGAAAAATAAACCAGAATCCACCTCTTTAATCCACCGCCAATCTAAATCGAATTATGTTTGAACGTCGAATCGCAAACGGGTAACCGCAAACTGCGTTTAGAGGTTCGCGGTAAACTCGGATCTAAAACTCTCTAATATTCGTATCCCTGTGGTCTGTGGCTTGTGGACGGTAATGCGCGCGCGCGTACATGCCCAGCACAGGGTTTCTAGTCTTTTACCTGTTCAACATACAACGCTATTGAGACACGAAACAAGCGAGAATACTACAACACAACAGCTTCATTCGAGCAATGATTTAGATTTATCGTTGAGAAACTATGAAAACAATAAAAATCTGAAAAATTCCAGGCTTTTTACGAATGTTGTAACCAATCACAACATGCCAAAGTTCAGGACTCGCGAGCATAAGCCGCAAGACCAGAAACTGCTTATTACTGTCGTCAAATGCTTACGCTTGAGTTTATTAAAATTTGTTTATTTTTTTCCTTGCAACAGAAAAAATATTCCAGAAATATTTCTGGTGCTCTAGGGTTTCTGGATTTCAGTTAAAATGTTCTTGACGTTACTGTAACTGATTTTTATGTGCGTACTTAAATAAAACTACTTATAATTAGCGATTAGAAACAGAGGACGTTATTAACTCATCGCTGTGGACAGAAGACCGATCGCATCTTCCTAAAAAAGTAACCAATTGCATTTTAAAAAAAGCAGTTTATTTTAGTGTCAATGTATTTAGCACGAAAGTACTAATTGAGGACCCTATATTAACGTCTCCTGCCGGAGACGGGACTGCCATTTTACGTGGTCATCCGAGCCACGTGAAGGTCTACCCGTTTGTAGGGAAAAGGCAGTACCTTCATTTATCAGTTGTTTTAAGACACTGGGTGTCGGTCCCGTCCCCAGAATCGCACCCGCGACTTCCCGCTCTGCAGTCAAGCGCTCTACTGACTGAGCCAATCCTGCCGCGGTGCTAAACCTGAAGCTAAACTAACTTACCGTTCATTTCACAGATGTAACGACGATGATTGGAACATGTATCGTCGTTCCACTTTCCTCTCTCTTGAATTTCGTAACGAAATGGATATATTTCAACACACACCTCACCACCAACATTAGGTTCACCACAATTCCAATTCGAGTAACTAACGCGGGACCCATCAACCCACAAAAATTCTGTCGTTCCGACTCGGAGCAAGGATAGGCCAATCCATGCACGATGCGATATACTGGGCGCAAGAGCCAGTTGCTTGGCCTCTAAGTTTATAACCGCAAGTCTAGATCCCACAGCTTCGCAAGCGGATTTTGCTTGGGGCCAGGTTAAGTTGTCGGAAGAAAAGTTGTAGCAGTATCCGTGAACACCTTCAATCCAGCCATCTGGGCATGAAGCTAAAACCAAAAATTATGGTTGTCTCAACTAACATCCCTGGATAAAAGTTGATCTTATCATCACTATCATTATCACTATCACTATCATTATCACTATAATTATAATTATAATTATAATTATAATTATAATTTTATAATTATAATTATAATTATAATTATAATTAACATTATCATCATCATTATCATATTATTATAATTATCCTTCTCATCATCATCATTATCATTATCATCATAACTTTTTTTATTATGTATAGGTTTTTTGCCAACCTTCATACATCGTACATAATAATATCTCAGAGTTTTTACATATATCAATGACACATATTAAAAACAAGAGTGGTCCAAGAAACGATCCTTGTGGCACACCACACTTAATTGGTAAGTAATCTGAGCTAGTTAATTTGAATTTAACAATTTGTTTTCCTCCTTATAGGTAGTTTCTTAACCAGTCTAGTCTACCCTAGTCTAGTCTATCATCATCATCATTATTATTATTTTTAAGGAAATGATTTATAATTGACAAGAAGGCATGTATCGCTGCTATTTCGGAATGGCAGTCTTTGGAGGTGAAAGGAAGGAAATATCCTTCAAGTAATACAGTTGTTTATACAATTACAGTTTCGTTATCTATAGCTAGATTATTACAACTTATTAATAATCAAAGAACGAAATGAAATAACGGAAAGTAGAGATCATACATATTTATGGAATTTGAAAATGCATTTTCATCAATCTCTTTTTTTTTTTTTAACGTCAATGGCTTGCCAGATTTAATAGTTAGAGTGGCAAATATATCTTTTTTTCATGTGGTATGGGACTGAATCAGTTAAACCTGATTAAAAACATCATTCCAGAGATGTCCAATAAGGTGACCAAACTGATCAAATATGTTAAATGGGGCTCGATTTCGACTCGATTAAAATGTCGGCATCCGTTTCATGGGGCCGCTAATATAGCAATTATCAAGGCTCGACAAGATCATACCATGATTTCATTATATTATGTCACCAGTTTCAGTATATGGCTTTCGTTAGAACAATTATTGTATGCATTAAGCTTTACTATCATTATTCTTAATTTTTAAAGAACTCTGCGACGAGGTACGTCATCTCTATTTTATTGGATTCACTCAACCTTGAACCTTGCTATAAACATATTATTTAAAGGAAGTATTTATCTAAACGCCCTGACAGACTTCATTTAGAGTACTGATTTATTCTATCTACGAACTCAAGTTTTAGACCTTAAATGTGCGTTTTTATTAAGATAATCGTGCTAATCGTAAATGATCACTTTGATCACTGCCTATACCTGCAGTTTTCGTTATCGTGGTCACATTTCACGATTTCTTTATTGCCTAAATTTCTTAACTAGTTTATATGATGGTAAATAAAAGGTCCCTACTGACTTGGAGGGCCTCCTATTCTACTGGCCATAGCGCCAACAACCAAATGAAGCCTACATCTTCGCAATCGCTTTCGATTTCGGAGTTTTTCGTTGAAGTCCAATTGAAAACTAAAAAGTCAAGTATTTAATTCTTTGAATATTTTTGCGTGAGCCAGTGTTTCCGTGAAAACCAAAAGCTGAGCTGTTTCAATTCGCTTGGTGATTTTGATAGCCATTCACAAAGTTAATGTCACATTGGTGATGTAAAAATGAAATTTCCCCGGCAAGAATTAGTCAAGACTTTAAAAAGAAAAAAAGTGTTTTTCCCTTGGTTTCTTCTCGTGATTGTTTATAATTCAAAGACGTACGACATAGACATGTAAAACAGAACAAAGGTAAATTTAGCTGACATATTCGTTATAATTGTTGGAATGTTTAACTTAATATATGAAAGTTTAATACATTTTATTATGACAGTTCAATATAGTTACTATTCAATGACAAGACAGGTGATACCGTATTATGTTTTTATACGTTATTCTGTAGCTGTTGAAATTGCATCCCAGTTTAACTCAAGCCGATACTTTAGGGCCGTTCCGCTTTAATTGCCAGCGCTGTTTAGCAGTGAAGTCAGTCAGCTTTGAGTGTTAGCCGCCATAGAAACCAATCATTTAAAACTTCAATCATAATAAAGGCGATCTAAAATACTACAGCAAGTGTTTCTGGATGTAAACAGTTTCCCTTGGAATTCTGATCCTAGCATAAGTTAAATTATCTGTCCACCTTTAGTTACCTTGAGTATAAGCGAAAGTTATCCACCTATCTGCAATTAGAAATAGTAGAAAAGCACCAGTGATCCAGGCAAACTGCGATCTTCCAATAATGCAGGATGCAGGCTTTATAAACGTCATTTCAACGAACGGACCACACACAGGAAAGCGCTCCCTGTAGTTATTCCGTAGATGGCATTTACTCTATTAGTACTTTGTTGTTTCTTGTATGTAAAGTTATTAATCATTATTGTAGAGACAATGAATTGCTTGATAACTCTTGCGTAAAAAATATTGCAGAGAAATTTCGAGACAGACTTAGATGTACGACAGAAAAAAATAAGAATTTCGTATAGCATCAAAGACCAGTTAAATCGAAGTAAACTTGGAAAACGAAAACTTATGGAAAGTCGAACAAATTTGGTTGGGAAATTTATTCACAAAAATATATTAAATAGTTTGATTAATTTGTTAATTGACTCATGTCTCATTGTGTCATAAATAAACTACAATGCAGTCTCGATGGAATGCCCAATTGGTTCATTGTAAATCTTGGGTGTTCATGTTTTGTCTTGTGTTGTGTATTTGAAGTTGTATTTCTTTCTTTCTTTCTTTCTTTCTTCTTTTCAATGTTTAGCTATTTATCCATACATTTATTTTCTTGCTAGAGGCCACTATTTAATTGGATGATTTGTAACCCGGTTGATTGTAATAATCACATTTGATTTATATCAGTTATACTACGGTCAAAATTCAAAGATCGGAAACACTCTAAAATCCCATCTCTGTCTTTGAACAGCCATAACCAGAAGAAAAAAGACGTTCAGATGTAGAGGATTTTCAAAATCGTCATTTCTTGAGTCAGACGTTATTTAGACGTGCTAATTATATAAACCCACATCGGTTGGACAATAATCTTCCCTGTGGATGCAGCTTTGGAAGGTGCAATGGCGGCTTGGAGTGTAATTAACTTCCCTGACAAGTGTCACAGTTATGACAATTTAAAAAAAAATTCTTGAACCTCCCCGTGTCTCTTTGGTATTTCTTTCCCCTTTTTATAGCCAAATGAATATTTTTAATCTAAACAGAAAAGTAAGCGTTCCATTACTAAGGTATACTAGTTATATGAATTAAGCCTGAGGGCTACAAATGATAATTTATGTACCCCACACAGTTAATGTGCTCGGTCGTGCATGCCTCGTTCGATTACCGAAGTCGATCGTCAGTCTTGCTGAGCATAGAGCAAAACAACACAAATCTAAAGACATTCCCTGTTCATTAAAAAGCAGGAACTTTTTCAAACGTAATAGTAGCGAAGATCAGTATTTATCAACCGTCACACTGTACGCGCAAACTCACACCCCCACGGCTTCGTACAAAGACATATTTAGAAGTTCGCAATGCTATCCGCACAAGTGAAGCCTTGTGTTAACATTGAGTATATACAAATCTAACCAGATAAAAAAGGTTTGTCTCTACGCACTCAGTTTATTTTGATTGGACGTGTCACATTATCATCTATCGGAGGACAGTAGCATTCCTTAAGTCAAAGGGAAATGTTCTGTTTCTTAGGGCGCTTTATAACCAGAAATCAGAACTTGCCGGCTTAAACCGGTAATCTTGAAAATGAAGTAACTTATTTTCGAAAATTTTAACCGAAAAACGTACACCAGATTTACACTAGAGGAGGTTTTTTCCCGGCTTTGTGAAGTGTAAAATAGAGAATCGGAATGGGAAACGGGAAACGAGCAGGGGAAATGGGAACAAAACTTAACTTAACCACTTACCCTATCAGTGCCTCCATGATTATCCCTTCCCTGTTTTGTGTCCATTTTTTATCAGCTTCTCGTTCTTCGTGTTAGTTCCCCGTTCCTCGTTGCGTCAGATCCGTTACCATTTTCCAGTTTTCCGTTCCACGTTCCTTGCCTGCATCTTTCCGAATTCGAATTTATTCAGTTTTTCAGGTTGGCAGGCGTTGACAAGCATCAAAATAAGCGTTGAACTTTCAATTGGATGCAATTAAGTACAGCTGGAAATCGTCGAAATTTAGAAAACCATCTTAAATTAGTAGTCACAATTAAACGTGACTGCTAAGCAATTATCCTTCAAAATACAATTTCTAAACTTCACTTTCATCCGTGGTTCCTTTTTGTTTGCATGAGATGCCTGGACCATTTTAGCAGGGCACAATAATTTCGTGGGAAGACAAAGTGATTGTTAAGGTTATCAGTCAATTTTATTCAAAAATTACAATCAGGTAGTTGAAGCCCTCGGCCTTGAACAAGGGTAATATACAGCTTGCAAAAGAGTGAGGGAGCGTAACTATGGCTTCCAGATAATCTTAAGGATCGCCTAGATCACCGGACTGGGTTGTCTGAGATCAAAGGAAAACACCTGTAAGGGATCGGTCATTATTTATCGCCTGGGGGGGGGTGATTATTTTTTGGGGGGATCACTTGATTTTTAGGAGAACAAAAGAGGGATCAGTCGTTACTGAGGACCCAAAAGGGGGGGTCACTGAAAACTTTGGAAGGATTCAAAAGGAGGCCACTCAAATTTGCTTGGAAAATGAAGACATGGGGGGGATCGCGAAAGTTATCAAATGTTATTAGGGAGGGTCACTTCATTGAATTAACATTCAAATGGGGGGGATCAGCTGAATTTCACCTTGTTTAGCACCAAATCCTCCTTCTTTAACCGGTGGTATTATAACCTGCTTGTGATATCGTGATAAACGCTGGGACCTGTTATGTAGCCTTTACAATACTGCCACATGCACCGCTATGTCGCCACAAATCTGACCAAATTAACAAAACATTCGTCTAGATATCAGAGAAATTTCAAATCAGGTTTACAACAAACGGCAAGCGTGAGTTTCATGTTAAAAAGTTCTCCGATTGAGAAAGTATTCATGAGCCGATAAAACTTCTAAAAAAATCTGATAGACGAACGTGAATGAATAGCAAACGACCAAAACTTGGTCACGTGTGCCACTTGACTGTTGTCGTAAACGTGATTCTAAACCAGCTCAATTCACCAGTGGAGGTAACCGACGTTAGAGAAAGATAAAGGTGATTTCAAGCAGCTGACATTTCCGTGGATTTTCTTTATTACTGCAGTGAAGGAAAAGCCAATAAATTTGTCCACCTTTTCTCACACTGTGGTGAACGAAAGTCATGATTCCTCGTTAGTTTTACACTGAGATGAGAAATCTACAATATTTGAAATTGTAAACTTGATGAAAAGGAAGAGACTGAATAATCATGCATATGCGATGCTTTTTTATGAGAGCAAACAAATAAAAGATAGGATGGTTAACAAATATAATAGCCTTAAGAGCTGACAAACAACTACAGTTGAACCCCATTAAGCGGCCACTCTTGGGTTACCGGCAAGTGGCCGCCTAGTAGAGGTTCGTCAAAAATTAGCAAAATCTTTAGTAGAAACATCTTTTTATTTTGAAAAAAGCACCCAATGGGAGCACCAGCGAATTACTGTTTCACAATCGGTCGTCATCCTCTATCTCGCACTGTATTTTTCATCATCATCGTATTATTGAAATAAACCCAAACTAAGCGTATCGAGCGCTTGATGGCCGCTTAAACAATGGGAGAATAGCCTGCCAGCAAGCTCTCCTTGGGTTCCCGGAGAGAGCCAGTCACAAGTTTAGCTTCATTCGAGCTTAAGACGAAATTGGCGGTTTTACCGACATGACAATAGGCAACTCTAACGCAAAGGCGTTTTTGAGCGACGCTTGTGACTGGGAGTGGAACTTTTGCATTCTAGGGCAGTGATGTCCAAATTTTCTATCCTACTCCGCCGCAGACGAACTCTAACCCAAGCTATTTTATAACCAAAGATTAAGGCTATGTTCGCACATTATACTGGATAGCTTTTCATGCCCACACGAAAAGCTACCTGGTAAAGTATGAACACCCTTCCGATATGTGACTCTTCACTATAAAGATCCGCAGCTTTGTGGCTCCATTATAGAATTCGCGCCAAAATTACAGTTATTGTTGTGTAAACAGAGGCCCTATCCAGTATGGTTTTCGTGTCGGCGCATAAACGATCAGACGGTATCCTCCCCCGAACAAAAGGAAAGACACTCCCCCACTCAAAGATGGGCGTCTTACTTGAGTTAATGAAGGTTGATTTGTCATCGAATAAAGCTGTTACATATATCCTTGTGTTCGAAGCTTAACGACAAATTAAAGTGTAAAGAAATTATATTACTGAATAATATTCTCGTTTATCTCCTGGTGACTGTTGCAACATTTGAAATATCATTGACACAAGCACTACTTTGTCCACTCAAAGATGGATAATTAATAGAATTGTGAATTCCCTCTCAAAGATGGGCGTCTTGTTCGAAGTTTAACAACAAATTGAAGTGTAAGGAAATTATATTCCTGACTAATATTCTTGTTTATCTCCTGGTGACTGTCCAACACAATTCTGGTTAAAGGTCGAAGCATATTACAATGGAAAAAGCCTCAATTCCGGTTGCGTTTAATCCGAATAGCCCCCTAGAGCGGTGACCTGTTTGACACATGCTATACACTCTTCAGTTACCAACACAGTTTTGTTATAATTGTCTACCAAAATTTCCATATTTCTAAATTGGTACTGAGGGTCCATCATCACTGTATTTTCGTTTCTTCTCCGCAAAATTAAAAAATTGCCAAACGTCGAATGGTGTTCAGGGCTCTCACTTCATAAGCTTTCATATGGAGGTTAAACTTATTATATTCGTCTACATATCAGGTAAGATTTACTTAGTGCTTTCGACTCAGAAGATTTCTAAATCCAGGTTCAATAAATTTGTTTATTTAAAGAAGTGAAAAAAAAAAAGAATAAACTTAGCTACGTTACAACAATAACTAAAATTCAAATGGTTCAACTCTACGACAAAGATATGACGCAATATTAACGTTTGGTTCTGGGAATCATTAATTTAGACCTAAAGAGAGTGGAATTTGTTGCCTAGCGTACAAAAATAACTCCTTGTCCTCTTTGGAGGAGCTTGTTTGGTGGTAAAGTCACTCAGTCCGGGGAGGCGGGGGTTGAACCAGACGGTAAGCTAATGCTTAAGAAAATCCATGAAGCACAGTTTATTCATTAAGAAACACTAAGGAGAGGTGCGGAACGTGGTAGGGTAAGATATCTTTAAACGCCTTCGTTGATATGATTATTAGGATCGATTATGATTACGTAAGATTAAGATGAAGATTAAGATGAAGATTAAGATTAGGATTAGGATTAGGATTAGGATTAGGATTAGGATCAGGATTAGGATTATGATTAAGATTAAGATTAAGATTAAGATTATGATTAGGATTATGATTAGGTTCGTGAACGTGACCCTGATTATGATCTGAATTGCGATTGTGATTGTGGTTTTGATCGCGATCATGATCGTGATCGTGATCGTGTCGTGATTGTGGTCATTACTAACAGTGTTTACTATACTATGGCTATGGATTATTACAATTATGATTGCCGTTATGATTGTCATTATAACTTTAATTTCGCGTATTACGTTAACTAGTGGCGTTCAAATCATTTTCTAGTTCACATCCTTTCTCGGAGCTCTGCTCAGAGATGCACCAACGAAGGAAGGCAAGTGTTAAATTCATGCCTGGAAGTCTGCTACTGTATCAATGGGAGAATCCAAAACTGCTGCAGAGTACGGAAACACTTCACATCTATGACAGAGGCTGAACGAACACGTTATGTGGAAACCGTACGACGGGTCTCAACGGAAAGTGGGTATCGCCAGGAGTATCGTCGTATAATAAATATGCATCAGAGGCTTTTCAGTACAGGAATTCATCAGAAAGACCAATTTCTACCATGGCATCGATGGTAATTGACTCACAATGCAACTTTTCCTTTAACATTTATTTTTTATCATTAACCTGTATATTCCAAATACAGTTGCCATTCCGTCGAGCGTCAATACTGTCTACAGGCGGCAGGATTAACAGTCGTTTTTTTTTTTTTTTCTGAAATGTTTCAAGTCAGCAAAACCTGCCACCGTGTGCAAAAAAAAGGTTTGTTTTTCTACACCACTGGGGGAAAAAGTCTTGAGGGAGAAGTCAAGTGCTCACTTGTTCGTCCTGAGCAATCGAAGCTAACATTTAGAGGGCAAAAGTCATAGAAGATAATCTGACCTTGATTATATGATGATTACCAACTTCTCATGCTTCTGATCTATCATTTAAGAGAAAGTTCCATTATTCCTTGGTTGATCTCAGGAGCTCGCTCGTGTCTCAAGATGTACGGGCCTGAAGCCATATTTTAAAACCAAAATATTGTCATTTTCCCGGCTTTAATCAGTCTATGGCTATGTTCTCACTAAGCATTTGCACCGGGACGAATACCATGCATACCTGCTAGGACATCTGCACACACAGGAACAGTGATTTCTGTTACGGAGCATGACTATGTCGCGCCCTCGCCGATCTGGCTATAAAGTGAAGAGTCACATATCAGATAGGTGTTCATGACAGTACTATAGCTAATAGGGCTTTTCGTGTTGAAAAGTAATCTGGTGAAGTGTGAACACAGCCTAATATGTATGGAATGCAAACATGGCGAACATAAAACAACTTTTGTCGCCATATCAGTACAAAAAAGAAACGGTCATTCCCAGAAAGGGACAGACTGAGTATTTGTTGCATATATGACCAAGAACGATCACAAAAGTTAAGCGAAACACTGGAACTTGTTTTTTCTCTATCTGGTTTATTTCTCTACTTTCTTATCACAACAGGTACCTTCTTCGGTACGAAAACTTGTTGCGTCAAGTAGATTGTCGAGTCACTCTTGCCTACTGGGACTGGAGTCTGTTTTCCATGTCACCCTGGCATAACACCAGTGACAGAATCTGGTACCCAGGCCCATCTGGTCTTGGAGGCAACGGCAGTGATGGAACTAGTGGTGGCTGCGTCACCGATGGACCATTTTCTAGGAACGTTTGGCGTAAAACAAATGGACGATGTCTTAGGAGAAGATTTAGCGGTGAGAAACAGCTTATACCTACATTTTCAATCCTTTTTTTTTTCTTTTCATCTCCAGCTCCAAATCCTGCCAACAGATCCTTTCTTTCCCTTGCTCGAATTTGGCGCACTCAAGAAAGACTCATGAATCGAGTGAGATCCTTTTTGAGCATGCCCAACACGTTGCCAGAATATAGGTTTCGAATCCAGGCCTAATGACCGTGCGCTAGCTACGGCGGGCTCAGTTCTGACCATTGGTTTATCAATGAAAGGATGCTCGCACTCGAAAAATCAGTTTGTCGAGAGAAAAAAGATTGACTAGTCTAGAAGGTCAAACTGTGGTGATCTCAAAGGCTTGACCGGATACAGGCAGCGTCTCTTTTTTTCCTCCTTGATCAAGACGACAGAAGGAGAGTTTGCTGGCAGGGTGTCAGCTCCATTTCCACAGTGTTTATTTTGCTCTCCACATGAAATGCGTCTGGCTTTCGGATGTTTATAAACACATTTTCCATTGTCCTTCACTCAGATTTTTTTCAATTTTCATCGATTGTGACAACGTGAATATCCACCTGTCTAGCAGTATTATTGGTCTGCTTCTCGTATTTTTTTGGTTCTTTTCACTAACATTGCCCTCATTATTTATTTTTGCGACACAGGATTGCCTCCCGACATAATAGCCGTCTACATAACTCAGTATTTTCAGCCTACGGACGACGGCTTCACCAGGTTTGAGCTTAACCTTCGAGTCAACCTCCATGACACCGTGCACTGCAGAGTGGGAGGAGACATGTGCCGGATGACATCAGCCAATGCACCAGAGTTTTTTCTCCACCATGCCTTCATCGACAAGATTTGGGCCAACTGGCAGGAGTATAGCCATCAACACATGATAGCACATTTCTCTAATCTAAGCTTCGTAATGACTGGAACAAGGTGGTATCGACCTCGCGACTTCATAAACACCCACGATTACCAGATATTCAAATACCCCAAAATATAGATGGTAGGAGAATATGTGTTTCTTATGAGGATCCAACACGTTGGGAATACAACGAAATCATGAGACGCCTCAAAGGTAATCGCAGATTACAAATTACATTGTTCAATGTAAGTGAGTCAAGAAATTTCACTGCAGGCGCTTTGGCAGCGCCACAAACGTTGAACCTCTCATTTTTGTTAAAATATATCATCATCATCATCATCATCATCATCATTATCATCAGCATCAACAGCACCATAACAGTAGCTGTCTATTAACATGTTCTCTCGATTGAAAAACTATTGAAGAACAATTAAGGTTGATTTTATATCTTGCGCGATCATAACCTTGATTCTTGTCACCTACCTGTTTTTTATATAGCATTGATAGTACAAGGCCAAATTTGGTGCTGATGATTCTTAGAAGTTAAAGGGTTAAACTGGCTTCAGTGACGGGTCTTCTTACCGGTTTTCAATTGTGTAGGAAGGCCCTCTTGTAGGAAACTAAAGAAGATAAACCTTCCTGTACAGTATTTAAAAATTTTCAACTCTACTAAGCAGGTAATTTTTCTTTTATTGCTTTAGATATGACGCTCCAAGAAATTCTTCAAATTCCACGACACTCGTTTGCTCCCGTCAATAATCGCCAGATGCGATTTTTTCGTGTTAATCGCCGGGAAAGGCACCAAGCGAGACGAGATCTAAGACGACTGGAACCGAGAAATGAACTCCAGGGTACTGCAGGTCTTACCTCACCTACTGCATTAAACACTGGATTTAACCTCGACTCCCTTCCAACGCCGAACAGGGACAAAGGTTCGAGGTTAACAAAGGAAAATTCAAGGCATGACATGTTGAAAATAAAGAAGGATCACTCTTAAGGGTTATGGATCATTTCGGGGGGGGTATTCCAGGGAATTTTTGGTAAGGGTGTGCCACCCGGTTCTCCAAACACTAACCCTGTTACAGACCAAACAATGTCTTTTTTTCACACCCGTTTTTTCAGACAGGGGGTCTTAAATCAATATCCGTTTTCAGGACATCATTTTTGGGGGTTCTTAAAAATTTCGAAATATCCGATTCATTTGGAATTTTTACGACCTGGTTTAGGATTCAGACCAAAACAAAACACCCGTTTTCAAGTCAAAATCATTTTTGAGACTGACTAGAGGTCTCAAAGTTCCCCAAAAGTCGGATATTTCACCATCTGACCTAGACAATCCGGCTTGGTACTGAAAGTCTACGACAAGCTACTTTTAAAAATAAAAAATAAATTTCTAAAAAAAAATTCGAGTCGACAATAATGTATTTAAATGAACCAACATGGTATAAATACGTTTCGAGGGGGGTCTTTTTGTGTACTCGTTGTCTATGCAGTTTAAAATAATTATGAATAAATTGATTAGTGGAAAAAGTGTTCCCAAAATTAATGTCACTCTCCCCAACTGAGGTCGCCATGTTTCAGTTTGGTCTTCAAAGCTTAACTGGGTTTAATTTAAAGTTATGACCCTCCAAATCATGACAGTACACGTAAAGCAATAGCAACTGAACACAAGACACGATATGGGTCACTTATGCATATTCACTGTCAGCCTTTCAAGTGACGTCCTTTGTATTTTTTGTTTTTAGCAAATCTACCTTATCTCAAAAGGACCAAACGTTCCATGCCATCTTTGGCTATCTTTTTTCTCCACCATGGCCATAGCGCACTAAAACGTCACGGCGGCCATATTGGTGTCCGAAAACAATGAATCGGCGGCCATGTTGGTGTCCCAAACAAATCCTCTGGGAGGTGAACTCTTTTCTTATGCAAAGGCTTTCTTTTGTTCCAATAAATTTGCATAGATACTGGCCACGTGAGTGAAAACACTCTATACTTTGCACACTTAACATGACATTAAACAGGTGAACAGTCGTGACATTAAACAGTCAAGCGTGACTTTCTTTTTTCACCGTTAAATATGTGCATATTCGTGACTTCAAACACGCCTCGCGTGCTGTGTTCGCGTGTTGTGAGCGTTGATCACCTTTAGCGTCAAAATCTTCTAAAGGGACACAAATGATCCCCATTGTTTGAAAGGATATATACAACACATCAAGTACAACTTGTTCACACACTTATGCACTAGACAATCGGTTCAAATGACTTTCTGTCAAATAACCTTAGAGCATCCTGTTATTTCCTAACACTACATATGGTAAATTCCTAGCATTTCACCAAATCTCTCATCTCAAAATTCGTTGGCCACCCAAAAGAATTATTAACTGGTACCCAGAAATAGCTCCCCAAGTTTAGGCAACAGAATTTTGATGCGATATTGCTTTGCAGTAATATCCTGGAGAATCAATAAAGTATGTAGAAACCGATTACTTGTTGAATGGTATCTAAGCTTGAAAATGAACTTAACGACATTGTTTATTTCTACTAGTACATCATGACATGTCACCTTAACAAACCAAAAACATAACATCAACAAAAATTATTTTAGGTAATGAGCCAATCGGGATTGTCACCAAACACTATTTTTACATAAAGGAAAGTGAAATGGAACAAAGGCTTGGCAGTTTTTGATTGTGATTCATTTTTTCCTGAGGGACGCAGCCGAGAAGGTTTTGTTAATACTCTGCAACACGGAGGTAATTTTTCACTATCAGGGGCACCCAACGGCAATTTTCGGGAAAACATCTGTTCGGAAGACGATTTGAGAACTAGAATTTTCGGAACATTTGTTGTAAAATTTCTTGCTTGCCTGCCTCTCCTAGGATTTTCGAACATCTACAAAATGGTTTAATTACCCATTTTAAACGGATATTTACCCTAAAAAAGGCCACCTAGAATTTTCGGGAGCCTTTTCCTGGCGGAAATTTTCGAAAAGGTAAGTTTGGATCCCTATAATTTTCGAATCACTAGACTTTCAGCTAGGAAATCCGAACAGATGAAAAGTTTTTAGGGGATAAAAATATGCCTATATCTACCGTTTAAATACTAAAATACGTTCAACAATGCTATGTTAAGTGGTTTTGAACTATATCCTCGTTGGGTGCCCCTGCACTATTACCTTAATTTTTTTCGGCGCATTGTCAAAAATGTTATTTTCAATCATTAGAGTCACTTTAACTGGCGATTCTATATTTTGGGGGCGTCAACTCCGTTTTGCACAGTTGACTTGACGTTACCTGAAATTATTTGGCGGCTTCAACTGGACCAGCTTCATGAACTACAGTTGTGAAATGTGAGGCAGTGTATGAAATCCTAAGCGAAAAAAAGTCAAAATAGCAGTAGGGGTTTGTAAAGTGAAGGTGTCGGCACTGATTTTATTTTCCTTTCTGTATTCCAATTGCTTAAAACACGCTTGAAAACACGCTTTACATGCACGGTTTCAACATTTAAAATGAATTTCTGTTGCCGGCCTTGAAAATCTTTATAAATCGCCAATTTTTTTTTGTTTTTAGAATATGATAACGTTTTTTTTTCTTTTTTTAAATAACGATTTGCTTGCGATCATCATTTCCTTCTCAGCCATAAGAATGACCAAAATTAGTAAAGAAATATCATAAGTATATGAATAGAACATGCACAAAGAAAAACGTTTCGAGGTTTGTCATTCTATGCGTGATCAAAGAAAAAGTCATGTTGTTGTCAAAACTTTTTAAAGCTGATCGTATATCGAATAGGTTACATAGAGTTATTTTGATGTCACCCAAGCAAAAACGATAATTATATTATGACATGTGTTTGAGATGTATTTTATTTTTGCTTACCCTTTTTAGTTTAAGTTATATTCAAGTTATAAATCTGTGACTGGAGGTTGAACCAGTCATGTTATTGAAAATTTGGGAAACAACTATCGCTTTCCTTCCTCTGCTACAAGTTGGATCACTTAATTAATTTGTTCCCCGGCTTTTTTCCAGTCTGTTTGTGTTTCAGTGCACGAGACGTACATATTCAAAATTATTCGAACAAAATAGAAGCGTTTTCAACCCTAATGTTTTTAAGGTAAACAAACATCAAGAAAAAATAACCTGCCTACCTGCATGATGCTGGATAAGGTTAATTGACAACTTTCACGTTCCTCATATTACACCTTGTTTACCTTCATAGTTTGGCATTTCCATTGTTTTCAATTTCTCCCGCGCAGTCGTCCCAAAGAAGACAATTCTTTTATACAATTTTTATGGATAGCATGTGTATTATGGGTAATGTGAAAATGGTGTATGATAAAACACCACTCTGTTAATCATTTTAATGTCTTTTTAGTTTTTTTTTCTTTTGTTTTCTGTTATTTGCAGATTATGAAGAGCTCAACTATTGTGCTGTTATTTTCCATTTTCGTGCTTTCTGTGGCAGGTAAACAGTTTTATCTCTGTATAGCGGTTTCAAACACTGCATCTTCGCAAAAAAAGTAAACAAATGTTTATGCCTTGGAAATTTGAGATCCCATCTCAAGAATCAATAAAAGTAATTTTTCTTTTACTGAAGATAATAATGCGCATGACTGCTATCCACTCATTCGACTCATATTGCTAATACATGTAGCTAGGACTTGTAAATTATCGAGGAAAGGGATTTAAAAAGGACCAAACTATAAAAATGAATGATTGAGCAAAAAATGCTGTGACAAGACTATCTAGTGACATAAAAACGACAAAAGTAACGTGGCAATATAAAATACCTACGGGTAAGGTCAACAAAGTATTTAGCCTCGATTTCATTTATTTTTATTTATTTTATTTTATTTGCAACACAATAATAACAAAAAATAAAGGAAAAGAGAGAAAAAAAAAGAAGTGGTGAGGAGACGTAACAGAAACTATAGGACCTTATGAGAGGTCAGGCCTACTCGAACTTCGGGTTAGAGCTGTTAAACATCGATTAAAGAAAAGATGGCCAAAAGTCGTATATGGAAAGAATTAAGAGCTGTTTTCATTTTTACTCAATAATTTAATCTTCAGTTTTTTCTTAAAAGAGGAAAGGGATTGAGAGTTGATGACCTCGTTGTCAAGTGAATTAAGAAACTTAGGCCCTTCAAAAAGGGCGAGAACTTCTTAGTGTTTGTACGACAATACGGTAGACGGTAGGCCTGGGAATGTGTTGTAAGAGTGGAATTGATTGCTTTGGGAGAAATTGTTATTAAACCTTGGAGGTAAGAATGAACTTTGGAAAAAATACATGAATTGACCCAGTTGAAGCAAATGGATGTCATTAAATTTTAGTGTACGGAGGTCCTTTAAAGATGGGGTCTGTATGAGCATTAAAATGTGATTTATTATAAATAATTCTAATAATGCGCTTTTGCAGGATAACAAGGCGGCGGAGATTGGTTTTATAAGTCGAAGCCCAAACTACATTGCAGTAGCAAAAATAAGGATAAATTAAGGAATAGTAGAGCATACGTAGAGACGATTTAGGAAGAAAGAAGCTGCATCTACATATTATACCGATTGACTTCGCAACTTTATTTTCAACGTGTGATATTTCCGACTTCCAATTTAGGTTTTCATCCAAAATTACTCCTAGAAAAAAATTTGTCTACTTTACTTTAACAATATTTTGATTATCTATATTTATTCGAATATTACAGATTGAACGCTTTTGTCTTGATTTAAAGACCATGGCCGGGTTGTTCAAAGCTGGGTTAAGGTAACCCTGGGTTAGTGCGAAATTTGAATTCAGATATGAAAGCTTAAAAAGTAAATTCAGTTTAATTCCTTTGTTTTGGAAGATTTTGGGAAACCCGGGTTTCATTTAACCCTGGGTTGTTTGCTTTAAACCAGATCAGAGAAGCTTGTTTGCTTTGACAGTTTGTCCATCTCCTGCTTAACATATAAAGTAAATAAATAAATTGGTTAACATATCTTTTGAAAGATAGTTCAAAATAAGGATTTAATAGATTAGAAACTGTGCAAAATTGTTTGATGTCGTTAATTTATGTCGTTAATTTACAGTAAGGAAAATAGAGGTCCGAGGATAGAACCCTGAGGGACCCCACAGGAGATTTCATTTCTTAACGAACGGTGGCCATTATATTCAACATACTGCTTTAGGCGTTCTTTAACGGGTATGTTGCTCGTGCTCGTGCTTTTTGTGTCCTTTCAAGGCATATTGGGAAGAAGGCCTAAACATTTCTTTTATTATAAGTGTTTTTTTCTTTTGGCTGGACAGTTTAAAGTGCGTGCGGCTACTCGAACCGTGGCACGTCAAAGAAGATTATCCAGTCACAACGTTTTTCGAAAATAAAAGATTGTCAAGTTGTTTCGCAAACAAGAGGTCAGGTATTTTCAAACGGTTTTAAAGTTTTCATCGGTTGCATACTTGAACCTTGAATTTTATTGATCCGTTTGCAAAAAATATTAATGTCGCGGCGCATTTTAAAGCATTATTAATGCTTTAATAATGAATAAGTACCTGTATCATAATACATTAAGGATCTCTCATTTTACATGCCACACTTTATGATGTTATGGGTCTCATACTTTATCTACTCCCAAATGTGATACAATATCATCATAATATGGACCAAAATCGCTTAGATATTTAAGGCCTACCGTATTTATTCGAATAAGCGCCCAACCTCGAATTAGCGCCCACCTCGAATAAGCGCCCATCTTAAAGGCAGAAAAAGTTAATAAGCGCCCAACCTCGAATAAGCGCCCACCCCCTCCTCCTCCCAATCAAACTCAAATAAGCGTTCACCCCCACCCCACCCACTTGAGTGAATAAATTCTAATCAGAGACTTCCCCGAGGACGGAGTTTTCTTCAGAGTATTTTATAGAAACCTTGCTTTGTTACTTCTTCGCGTTTTGTTAGTGGCATTTATTGTTTTGTTGCAAAATAAACATACTTCACTTGCTGAAAATGGTGAAAATTTAATAAGCGCCCAGCCTCGAACAAGCGCCCACCTCGAATAAGCGCCCACTCTCAAGGTCCAAAAATTTAATAAGCGCCCGGGGCGGTTAATCGAATAAATACGGTACCTTATGGAATTCTCTTAAAGATCTCGGGATCCAATTTAAAAAAAAAAACAACTAGGTTGGCACGCATTCATAATCATATCTTTTATGCTGCTCAATTTTATAAATATTTGATTTTAGTGTTAAGTATTTTAGGAATGTTGTATTTAGTATTTTAATTAGCTTTTGATTAGTAGTTTTACCTCCTTAAAACAAGCACCAGTGTAATAATAAACGAGTTTAAATAAAGATTCTAATGATAAATACTGATAATTTATATTAATTATTTTTTTTAATCAGGGGTGTTCTCTCACAGGGGAAGGAATCGTAGATACACGTGTCGCAATGAACAGGAAGGTTTACCCCTGGACGGTCCGTGCGGGGAGCAATGTATTTGCCTCGATGGAAGGCTAGAGTATTGTTGTAGAAAACGAAAGAACTTTGCCTCAATGACTCGAGCTGAAAGACTACGATATGTAAACACTGTCTACCGGGCCTCTACGGATCGGCGGTACAGAGGAAAATACAACAGACTAATTGCCATTCATTCAACAAATTTTATGAGAGGCATTCACGATCGACGGCAATTTCTACCTTGGCACCGATGGTAAGTCTTAATGAAATGATCATTTCATATCCTTCAAAAACTGCTGGGTTGTCTTCATGAACCTGTACCTAACCATCAACTGTACAGCCCTTTCCCTAACGCTTAATTTTAAAGCATGCAAAAGCCAACAGGGACCGAGAAAAAAAAGGCTTTGAGGCATCTCCCCTTCTTTTTATCTTCAGTCCGATTGGGATGTGACCACTAGTCTCTTGAGGGGGAATATGAAAAGAAAGTCGATATGTTGTTAAAGTTTTCACTTAAAATACACAAATAAGCATGATTTAAATGGTGATGATCGAAGACGACGACTGTGATTTTGCAACGGCGATTGAACTACTTTTATGTTTTAAAGCGTTAAGAAATTAATTATTAATAATTAATTTGTAATAATGATAATTAGAAAAGATGTAATCATCATTTCACGAGCGCGGGACAAAGAGAAAATATGAGTTCCGGAAAGGAATTAAACCAATGATCAACTTCATACCGGTCGGATAATCTGACCACTGAGCCACGTGGAATTTCAGAAATTTAAAATCGGAATAAGCGCCCTAAATATCTATTGTTTTGGTTTCGTCAATGCGCAGGTATCTTCTTAAATACGAAAATTTACTTCGAGAAATTGACTGTAGAGTGACATTACCGTATTGGGATTGGAGCCTGTTTCCTGGAGCTGTGTGGAGCCAAGGGGAAGATGAAATTTGGTCGTCAAAACCTTGGGGACTAGGGGGGAATGGACAAAGAGGTAGAAGACCTGGCTGTGTTAATCAAGGACGATTTAACCGTAGAACATGGCGCGTTACACCCTCAGCTCACAGAGATTGCCTTAGAAGGTCTTTTGGAGGTACAACTGGATTTTATTACAGTGTATTTTATGTCATCGTCAAACACTCCCAGAGTAGCAATTCAACACGCTAATTATAATTGGCAGTATATCTGATGCAACTCAGTCACATCCTGAATAAATGATATCTTTGTTTTTGCCTGAGAATTTTTACCAGGGGAAAAAAATTTTGTTTAGATATTATCACAGTGACAATGTACGATAATGCCAGAAATATAATTATTATGGAAAAAAAGGTTACTATTTTATATTGGGGCAAGCCCATTGTTCGTCTTTCTGGTCAGCGCCAGCGGGTTATGAGGAATTATGAGAAACCAATTAGAAAAGGCCATACATTTTGAATAAATAATGAATTGTTCTTCTCTTGTTCTTATACAGCGACACCACCGGATATAATAGCTGTCTACCTCACTAAGGCCTATTATCCAAGACAGTTCAGACAGTTTGAGTTGGAACTGCGCGCCAATCTTCACGATACATTACATTGCAACGTAGGAGGCACAATGTGCAACCAGTATTCCGCTAACGCCCCAGAGTTCTTCCTTCATCACGCCTTTATCGACAAAATTTGGGCAGATTGGCAAGAAAAGAGCACTGAACATATGGACGTTTACTTCAGAGATCTTTCTTCTAGAACACGCATGCAAGCGGCGCAATTTCATCCCCAAGACTATATAGACACCTTGTATCTACCGCACCCCAATGTTAATAGACGAAATGCAGAGAATATCTGTGTCATTTACAAAGATCCCGTGCACCCAATGTACGATGAAGTAATGAGTCGCCTTGAAAGCTTAACCACCAGAGAAGTTCGTCAAATTCGTAGGCGTGCATTTCGTCCGGCGACCTCCCGACAATTGAGACGTCTTGGAGTCAAGAGGAAGGAGCGACGTCAAGCAAGGAGGCTGCTAAGGATGATCGAACCAGGAAGACAACATCGAATCCTTACAAAATCCCTAAAAACAACCCTCGACAAGATGCTTGGCTTTTCTTTGAAAAGTATTCCATTTAGGGCCAACTCAATAAGAGATCAGCGAGCTAGAAGTTCAGTTCTCAGGGATGCTCGATGGTTGGCGAATTCACTCAATTCCACGACAATGTCAATTGGAAATTTTGGAGACTCCGTATCTGCTAACATCTCCTCTACTTTGGTGTAG